AACAAAGTTATAATACCCTTGTGCACAAGTGCGCTCGGGTATAAAAACTTAGATATTTAGAAGTTGCTAAAACCCATTGTAAAAAGTGAAAGTATTTAGCAGATGCAAAATACTCCCATTAAGGAACTAAGATGCATATTTAGTATATGGCTAGCTACTTGCTAACTAAATACTTTATGGTTTAGGAACAAGAAATTTTAAGCAAAAAACACAACCAACTTAAACTCTCATATAAAAATTTAGGAGTACCGTTAATTTCTTCATGATCCTATGATCGGACCTAAACCAAATTAGTATGGGACCACTCTTGAGGTAGCACCTTTCCGATAGAAAAAGAATTATCGCAAAATATTCCGACGAATTGATTGCCTTTTCCTTTTTTGAAGTCGGTTAAAAACTAAAGCAACTAACACCTTACGTCCTACATATCTTTACTCACCTCACCTTAACTAACCTCACTTCAACTCACCTTAATTCACCTTAGATCACCTCACCTCAACTCACATCAGTTCACTTTATCTCTGCTCACCGAAGCAAATCACAAATAAATCTTATTTCTAAAATTCCCAAAATAGTTCCGAAAATCTCGAAACAGTCTCGAAAATCGAGTGCTATTCCCAGAAGTCCGAAAATCCCTTAGTAGTCTCGAAAATTCCGAAACAGTTCCGATAATCGAAAAGTAGTACCGTAAATTCTGACGTAGCTCCGAAAATCCCGATACAGTCTAGAAAATCCCAAAATCCATAAATAATCCCTACAGTCCCGATAATCCCGAAGTAGTCCCGAAAATCACGAAATAGTCTATAGAATCAAGAAAATACCGAATACTTTAATGGCATGTAATCAATGTAGTCTTATAGTTTCGAAAGTTTTGATTGATCCTCGAGAATAATAATGACCCCAAAAGAGAAAAAAAGACAATTTTCTTACTTATTATTCCTATGGGAATAATAAAAGCTCGATCGGGCACCTCTTGGAATTATCGTAGAGAGGGGAGATTCATGGAAGTTCATTATTGTACCAAATACTAAAATTTGACGTCATCGCTTGCTTAAGTGTTTAATTTTATGAAAAGTAATGTGTAGTACTCAAAAATATCGTTTCAACATTTTGAAAAAAGGACTACCCAGGAACAAACATTTTTATGACCCTAAAATCCTCTCAAAATAAGATTTGAAATTAGGAAAGGTAACTGCAAACTTTTTTTTCGCGCCTCAGTCTAATGTACATACTTTCCGAAAACACTGCCGTGCAAAGTAAGTAAACGAGATTTTTAGAAATGTTAATGGCAATAAGGCACTTAAGTAGTATATGGTTACTAAACGAATGAGGTTTAAAAAAAGCTTTATTTAGAAAATATTTTGAAGACGGTTGGCACCTATCTAAAAGTCAATTTAATTTTTCTATAACTAAAATAAAGTGTTACAAAATGGAAACCAAACGAAAGAGGTAATGTTTCGAAAACATTTTTAAAGAGGCTGGCACCTGTTTAAAAGTTAAATTTAATTTAATCACTCAGTTTAATTAAACACCACGAAATGATGTCAAGTCAAACAAATAATGTTAAGGGAGGATTTATTTGGTAAATATTTTTAAAGAGAGTTGCCATATGTTTAAAAGCCAAATAATTTATTCCTTAGGGAATCCTAAAATTTTTTTGGCTCGGCTAGTGGCTGAAAACCTCTATTCAACAGCTTGGGACCTTTTGGTAGGTACCAGGCCACGCGAGTTTTGACATCCTTGCAAAGTGTTGTGTTATATGTAGTCGGTATTGTGCTCAACGCTTCTGTAGTTCATCTACGACAGAGCTTCTAGGGAGGTACATATCACTTAATGGCGTTTGTCAAAGGAGAAAATATAACCCAAGAGATCCAAGAGTAACTCGCTCTCAGGGAGCAAATGAACAACAGACGGCAGGGTC